CCCCATTCTCTCTCTCTTACCTGGGAAGGTCAGCCTTCTCCAGGGGAGCCCGCGGTCTCTGGAGGAGCAGTAACTGCTGGTTGTAAAAGCAAAGTTACAGCAGCCTCCTCTCGCAGGTGCCGGGCAGAGATAAGGCCTGGGTGTCTCCTATCCTTTACATTCTTCTGTTCTCTGCCAGCAGAGTTCCTCTTTTTCCCATGTGCGAGTGTATTTTCTGTAAAATAATGCCGTCTCGGAGCAAAATGCCAGCTTGGCCTTTTTCAGTTATCACTCTGGACATGGTGCTCGGAGCTGCTGTATTGACCTGTCTTTCACCCTCCTTTGGCATTTGATCTGCCAGGAATTGAGTACCTGAAAAAGGGGGGTGTGGGGCTCATCACTTGTGTCCATCGCTGCTGTCTGACTCTATTTCATCTTAAAACCAGCATGGAGTCAGTAGAAGCAGTGATTATTCTTGGTTTTGGGCTATTCATAGTGATCCAAATGTCACATTCAGAAGCGTGTATGTTCTTTCTGGCATGTAACAGGCTGACTAAGGGTGTGGCCTTTGTCAGGCTGGCAGTGACAGAGGTGGGACACTCCTAAAGCCCAGTTCTGCGACATGCCACAATGTCTGCTTATAATATTATGGGATTCATTACTGTGATTCCCAGCTTTTTTTCTTACTTCTGTTTTGCTCCGTGTAACTGCACTCATGGTGACCAGGCCATTGTTATTCCATCCCAGATGGCGGCCTATCAAGACAGACGGCTTATAAGGCAAGGCAGGCCAGGCTAGGATGGCAGCAGGGCAGTAAGGGGAAAGGGTGGTGTGAGGGGATGTGGAGGGAGGAATGGAGGAGGCGCTGGAGAAGCTGCAGTCTTAGCTGAATGGGAAAAATCAGCTTGTGTTGAATAAATAAAATGCTTAAACTTTAAGCATTGTGTCTTCTCATTGCTGCTTGCAGAAAAACCAGGACTTGCCAGCAAATTTTGGGAAAAACGGTAAAGTTGAGCAATGACATGAGAATTTTATTTATTTTTTATTTTTTTTTAATAAAATTGCTTTCTGGATAGTGCTGTAGCCTTTCATTGCCATTCATTTTTCTGGATTCAGAGGTTTCTTTCCGTGATCCAAAAGGTGGTCAGGTGAATCGGTGCCTAAGTTGCTTATACAGTAGTATGTGTGCATGCTGGCCTCGCATGTGGGGCGGAGCCCCTCTTATGATCAGACCTCCTGGGATTGGCCGCCATCCTGTACTGGGTAAGCGGTGATGGGCGATGCAGCCGATATCGCCTGATTGACAGTGAAAACACATGTATCCAATAAAGGTGGCTGTATACTTCAGGGTCAGACACAAGAAAATCGAACACGTTGGCGAGAACAATCTGTTGCACACGGAGAAGCCAACAGTTTACACGACACAGTTACACGCTAACAAAACACAAGCGTTCCATGATGAACATTACACAGTTATGGCATTTACTGTTAACATAAATGCACGAATGCACTTTAATTTACACTATTTAAAGATATGCACAGTATGGTGCAAAGCCTGCCAGTCACTGCATAGTTAGTCCTGCTGGCCAAACCCACGGCGTCACATTTATGTCAGCCAAGCATGGACAAGGGGTGGAATCAGAACAAACATAAAAGTTGGCCTCAGGGACCCCGGACAAGCAGTGCGCTGAAGCGGTGATCACCACTCATGCAACATCATGTTGCTAACTCGACGTCAGGACTCCATCTGTCTTCCCTGAAGTATACGGCTTGATTTATTTCCTTTTAAGGCTTTTACAATCCAAACTGCATCACTGAGCTGAATTCTTATCTCTGAGCCCCAAAGATCTGCGTGGAGGCTTGGCTGTTGGCCTCGTGCCAGACACATTGTTGGATGTAAGAAGAATCTCCCTCCTGCAACCAAATGGAGGCAGTTAGTCGCGCATACCGCCCTCTGGTGGTAACCGTAAGTCAGTTTTTCTCGGTTGTCGTGTTTTGCTCCTAATAGCATGCCCGTGGTGGTTGTGGGCCCGTACCTGTCCCCTGCTTCCTGTCAGAGCAGGCATTCAGTGTGTATCCCATAATATGAGCCCGACTCTGGCCTGCCCAAGCCCACCGAATGATGAGCAGACGCTCCTAATGGGCTTGGTTTTGCGGTGCTGAATCTGGCGGAGGAGAGAGAGAAGGAGAGGTTTCAGATTAATTATGTCTCAGTAGAATTGGCCTTCCATAGTCTTTCCTCATTTATTTCAAACCCCCCCACCCCCCAGTCCCCACTGACGGAATATGTTTATTTCACACAAGCAGACGGCCTATCAATATTTCAGGCCTTGATTTTTTCGGAGGGCCGTGTGCCGACTGAGCACCAGCCATGTCAGGTTTCCCAGTCTGATCGCACGTGTGATGTAACCCTTCCCAAAGACATGGATTGAGGTGCCTTTAAAACACTGGAGTTAAGTATGTGAATTGAGCACCCCTTTGTAGAGAGGGAACAAAACACAATGTCGTGCCCTCGGAAGCTTGAAATAAAACCTGTTTCTACATGTATAATGTGCTGTTGGGGGGGGGGGGGTATCCTTTAGAGCACTGGGATTTAGTAACCGAATTCTAAGAGTGAGGGGTTCATGGGGGTGGAGGGAAGGAGACACTCAGGTGAATATAGTTGTCTATGTTTACCTTCAGTTGTTCCTGTGGGGTGTATTGCAAAGCAATATTTGCATACCCAGAGTTAACGCAATAGGGTCAGATAACTAACACTAATTGCTGCTATCAGCGTTAAACAGCACTATAACGCTGGTGATCAGCTCGTTACATTTCTTAATCAGTCTGTGCACATTCACAGTGTCAGTTCTGCAAAGTAAGACCTGTCCTTTGATAGGTAGGCAATGGCCCTCTGCTCTAAAACTTTAAAGTCAGTTCCTCCACCCCCAGCGGATTTCATCCACCCCTGACATGGGCATCAAATATTGGTATTGGGATAAAATTTTGATATATCTTGGCATACATATCTTTTGATATATCCAGACCTAGGATTAACCCTGGTTTGAGCAGGCTAGGTTTGCAGCATTTATTACAGTGGGGGGAAAAAAAGTAATCAGCATGTCCACATTTTTTTTTTTCAATAAACTTATTACTTATGCAGCTATTCACACTGCCCCGACCCCCCCCCCCCCCACTAGAACCACCCCTGTTGTTATCCAACTTCTGGAGAAGCCTGTGGATTATTGGGAGATTGTAATGTGGTCAAACAAGCTAAAAACTGAACTTTTTGCCAACAATATAAAGAGCCATATTTGGAAGGGTTCTGACTTTGCATATGACCCTAAAAAAACCATATGGACAATTCCATACCGTTATCACATCCACATTATTGAAGAGAACATGAGTGGAGCCACATATTGAGAAATCCTCAAGAAGAATCTGTTGCCATCCAGAAGGACGATGAGGATGAGGCACCAGTGGGCTTTCTAGCAGGACAACGGTCCAAAACATACTGCAAAGGAGATATTGGCTTCAGAGGAAGAAAATAAAGATATTTGAAATCAGCAGAATTGTACCCAATAGAACATTTGTGGAAGGAACTGAAAATAAAGATTCACCTGCAGGCACCCCAAGAATGTTCCAGATTTAAAGTTTGTGTAGACCAGGTATGCCCAACTCCAGTCCTGGAGGGCCGGAGCCCTGTGTAGCTTAGTTCTTTCCTTGTTCCACCATAAATGATTCAGCTCAAGAGCTGTGTGGTAATTAGCACAAGAAGTTGAATCAGGTGTGTTAAATGAGGGGAAACCCAAAAATGTGCAGGGCTCTGGCCCCCCAGGACTGGAGTTGGGCACTCCTGGTGTAGAAGAATGGGCAAAAATCCCGCTTGGACACTTTAAGAGATGAGCTTCTTCCTACAGGAAGTTGCTTGAAGCTGTCATTGTAAACAATGGTTTCTCCACCACCAGTTATTAAATAAATTTCAGTTAGTGTGTTCAATATTTTCTCACTTTACACTTTATTGCACATAACTTTTTCTTATAGACTGGAATGTTACGATTTCTTTATCTGTGTCGATTTATTGAGTTAACCCAGTGTTTGGT